GGGCGGGGAGCACGGCCACGTGGGCCCAGCGGAAGAAGCGCAGGATGGCGTGAAGCAGCCCAGCCGGGGCTGGCAGTGGCAGTGCCAGGGTGGGCCACCCGTCCGCTTCGCCCAGGCACCCCCAGGACACCAAGGGCTTGTTCCAGGCGGCGGCCAGGAGCCCCGCGGCCCCGCACGCCCCCGGGTTGAGGGGTCCCACCAGCCCCGTGGTGTAGCGCTCAGCACTGAGCAGCCCTGCCACGGCCTGGGGGGTCCCACACGCCTCTGGCAGCACCACCACGTCCCACCAGTAGCCCTCGTTGAGCGTCGGGTCCCGGTTGAGCCGGGCCACGGCCAGGCGGGAGGCCACGTCGGGCAGGGCCCGGGCCAGGAGGGGGTCACAGCTCCAGGGACCCATCACCCCCACCTTGAAGGTGGCCCCCTGCGAAGGGGGTGGTGGGTGGAAGAGGAGGAGGAAGAGGAGAAGAAGGTGGTAGGGCCACCGGGGGTGGTTGGAGAGGCGGAGGAGGAAGCCGCGGGAGGTGCCACCACCATGGGAGGTGCCACCACCGTGGGAGATGCTGTCACGGGAGAGACCATCTCCATGGGAGGTGCCACCATGGGAAACGTTGTCGCGGGAGATGCCATCATAGGAGATACCATCAAGGGTAATGTCATCATAGGAGACGCCACCTTGCAAGGTAGCACTATGGGAGATAATGTTGTAGGAGAAGCCACCACCATGGGAGATGCCACGACTGTGAGAGACGCCGTCACGGAAGATGCCATCATGGGAGATGGCACCACAAGAGGAGTCGCTGTCAGAGATGCCACTATGGGAGATGCCACCATGGGAGATGCCACCACTGTGGGACATGCCGCCATGGGTAAAGTCACTGTGGGAGATACCACCACGGGAAATGTCACTGTGGGAGATGTCACTGTGGGAGAAGCTGTCACTGTGGGAGATGCCACTGCAGGTGATGATGCCACTGTGGGAGATGCCACCACAGAAGAGGACCTTGTGGGAGATGCCACCATGGCAGAAGCCACTAGAGGTGAAGTCATCATGGGAGCTGTCACCATGGGAGATGCCATCACAGCAGATGTCACCGTGGAAGATGATGTCACCATGGAAGATGCCACCAGGAACGATGATGTCACCGTGGGCGATGATGTCACCGTGGGGCCGCATGGTCTGGGCGGCCGGGGCCGGCGGCGTCGAGGCCGGGGGT